TTCCATATTTTTCAACAAGTCTTTGAACTGTTATTATCACATTTGATTTGAAAAATAGCATTCATGAGTTCCTCAAAATGCACAAAGCCTGTAACAGAAAGGAAGGGAAAGCTCCGATTTTGTCAAAGCCCATGTTTATTTCTTAACCAATTAACATTTCCTCTGCTACAGCCCCTCTTTGAATTAACCTCACTTTCTCCTACTGGAGCTAAAAAGAGTAAAATCCACCTCAATTACTCCTTAATTACTATCTAAAATTCCAAGGTATAAGGAAATTAGGCATAAGGAAAAAAATGAACTTTTTCTTCAAAACAGAAAATAAAATATATAAAATCTTCCACTTTGTATCTTATTTAACATGCACATTATTTTAGGCTTCTACTCTAAGATTCTTTTTTTTTCTTATTATAGAATTGAAGAGTGTCATCCAGATTAGGACTCAATTTCCTCACTAGGCCCTTATAATTTATATTCCTATATAAAAATCGACATAAAAATCCAGATTTCACTGTTGAGAGCTAAGACTACCTCTGCAGTATAAGTGTTCTTTGTAACTAGAAAAAAAATACATACCTTTAAATTGTTATATAAAATTGTGAGATCTAAGAAAGGGTTTGACAAAGGCAAAAAATGCTGAGGAATTATAGCTCACATCTGACTTGAAACCTGAAACTAACATGATTTGTCACAAGTAAGAGCTTCTTTTTCCATTGCCATGCAAAATGCAAGAATATAAAAATTCTAGAAACACAGTGACCCCGTCTACAAAATAATATAGGTTATAGAATGACCCTATAAAAAGAGATTTTTTTTACTGTGTTATTTTAATGATGCAAGGTTATAAGTTATTGATTTTTACAAGATATAATCAATTAACACTTTTCTGCTGTTTATCTCATGAACCAGAAGAATTTTGTGATTACTTTGGTACAGATTATTTATTGAATGTTTATTCTGCTTTCACTATGTCAATTTGTCATTAGATGATTATTTAGAGAGAAGTTAAGATTTCAGAATTTGGATAAGTAGCACTATGAAAATTCAACAACCATAAATAGTTTCATCAAAATTTCCACTTCATTATGTCTGTCTCCAAAATTCACATTTTCCAGTACCTGGCTGAATTTCCCCTAAGAGAAATGGCACAATTTCACTGAGGGAAATTGCAAAATGGACACCAGAATCTGTGTTACAATAAAACCATTTTGGACTAGTACAATTTTTCCATTTGAAAACCCCATACTTTAGCAATGGTTTAACTAACCATATTTTTTCCTAGCACTCAATATTTTCAATGCAGTTAAACACGACCCTTTAAATTAATCTCTTGTTGATTTATTGAAGACAAATTAGCTTAGTAGTAAATGCATGTCTATGAAAATACAACAAAAACCCACTACCAATTAAGTGCAGTATGTCATGCAAGCATTAAAGACAATGCTATTATAACATGATACAAGTTCTATCAGGAGAATAAGATCTACAATTTTATTTAACTATAGCCCAGCTCTCTCAGGCCCTTCCTGATCAGGAAAAGTGAACATTCTCTCTTGAATTTCAACTACTTTGTCTTTTTCCCCTGGTTTTTTCTGATATAACAACTTTCCTGGTTCCAGTTAAAAAGTAAAATAAAATTGTCAATAACATCATCAACAGGGAAAAATATTAAAGCCTTTTTTAAAAATGAATCAGGTGCAGATATTGAACTGTACTTTCTCATCCTTTGTCTCACTTTTCAAATGATAATTTCTTCCACAGTCACCATTAAATCTTGATCTATTCCAGCTCTCTGTATGGGTCATTGATTCTAGATGTACCATGGTTATTTTTAAATGTTTCCCTTTCGTAGAGAAAAAGAGGGCTGTCTAGAGCCAGATGGGTAACTTCACACTTCATTTATCAAACCCAATGCATTAGACTCCACCCTCTCTTTCCCACTATTGCTGTTAAATTTCCATATAATTTGGTAACAATTTTCATTATCATACAGTGACCCTAAAAAGTCTATCCAGGTTTGCACGGTCAGTCCAAAATTCACAGCTGTTCCCTTCACCCTGTGTTTATTACAGTAGAATCTGAGGTTCCCCTCACTTCATAAGCTGAACAGTGACCTTCTGCAAGCAGAGGTCAAGAAGGGGTCAGTTCAAAGGGCTAGAGCAGCTCTTTAACAGCTATAACAACCTGTCCATCAGGCCCTATCACGCAGTATAAACAAATCTGGGGCTTTGGAAACCCTGGACCATTTCTGTTAACACTCAGAGGACATTCACTGAGTCCTACCTGAAGTATTTTGGATCACTACCACTCAGGGAACAACTTGAATCCCTGGAAGACCTGCTCAGATACTTCAGATACTGATGACATCTTTGCATCACAAGTCTATGAAATGGTGAGTGCAACACTAAGCACACTGCCATGAGTTTTGGGCTGTGGAGCTGAAATAAAATCTTAAAGAGTCATTTCAGCTCATTAATACGCAGAAACACTGGTACAACTTCAAGTAAATAACACAAGAATGCGCTTTAACTGAGTAGGTACATACCAGAAGAGTTCATATGCCTTTCTCTGGGAAAGGATAAATTTCAGTTTGTGTTACCAGCTCCCAACATGTTTTCTTTTTTATCTCAGGTGTTAATGACACAAATAGAACACAAGAAAGAACAGAATGACTACATAACTCTACAAAGACCAAGTGCAGAGTGAAGTTTTCTGCCAGCTGCCCTCCCTTCATTGACCTAAATTTCTTGAAGTTGTACTGTTCATAATCTGCTCTCTAATGCACAATGTAAGGTAATTAGAGTCATCTGTATTTAACTTCCACAGGAAAAAAAATTCTATTATCTAATCTAGCTGATCCCCTGATAGCCTGTTGAAAGTAAAGTACTGTAACCTATTGCCTGCCCTTTGACAAGTGCTAATTATTTCCTGTCCAAGCACATTTTTCTCATGTAATTCCAAAGTACACAATAGACTGATCTCTAAAACATGGGCAGCCCTGCTCGTAGCACGGCGGACGTTTTGTAACTTTCAGCACCGTGTGCTCCATGGCTGCCACAGCCAGCGTTTCGCTGCAGACCCCGAGCTGAGGCTTTGATGGAGCCCAGTGAGGTGTATGCTAACAGCCTCTTTATGCAGATCATATGGACGAGACTCCCAGACAGGTCACCGGGATGGGAAACATCAAATAGAAAGAAAAAGGATTATGGATATTTAATACTCAAAGGACACCTTCTTTCGGAACTTTCAAGGCACAATGCTCTTGAAATTTTCTTTCAGGTGTTTAGGTTTAAGAAGGCCTGCACTTCATCTGCCTGTGCCTCTGCCACCCCCAAGAGCCGCAGCTTGGCTGTGTCAGGGGCTGGGCCGCGTCTCCAGCTGCAGCCCTGGCTCCGGCCCCAGAGCTCCCTGCGAGCAGCAAGTGGGGCAGGCACACTGAAACAAACCCACAGCTCCTCTAAATTACTCACTGCTGCCATGACTGCTGATGGCTTTGTGTATTAGGGAATCACTGCCAGACAAAATGAACTCTGAAAAGGTATTCCACTCATTAGAATCTATCTATTCTCTTTCATAACGAAGATGCATTCGTCCCAAGGAAGTTTTAAGTGATTTCCTCTGTTTCCAACATAGCTAAAACATTTGCATTATTTAGTAAGCAAGGTGATGGAAGGTAAAAAAACAAAAAGAAACACCCCCCCAAAAAACCAAAATAAAGCCCCAACCAATTGAAAAAAACAAACTAAAAAACCCCAACAAAGCCGCCATAAAAATCCCTTAAATTGTTCAAGAAGAAAAATGTAAGTCCCACATGATAATATGGAAAATATTTTAGAGCCAGCTTATTCTGAAATCTTAAGAAAGCAGCATACATTCCATACTCACTGGAACAAAAACTTATAAAACACAACCTGTAATTTGTAAAATAATTATGTGCAATTATGTTCAATTTTTATCTAAAGTTCCTAAAATGTTCCAACTTCATTTGTTGTTTAATTATTTAAACCAGAAAAGATACCCAAGTGTCAGACCCAAAATCTACCAATAATATTTTAAAAGCAATCTCAGAGTCTTCAGGAACTACATCAGCAAAATACAAGAGATCTCCTTTAACTTTAATTAGGGCAGGTAAAAAAATCATGCCAGTTAAATGCTAAATTTAATTAACAAAAATCTGATTTAAAAATACTTTTGACTAAAAAACTGTATTTAATTGTAAGTAAGGAACATCTCCTGGTTTTAAGTAAAAGCTGTATATTTGGCAGAAAAATTTCATAGACTGCTAGATATTTTATATAAATATCAAATAAGAAAATATAGATTATAAAATTAGTATAAACCTATAGCTTTTAGACATTCGTGTGAAAAAGGTGACATCAACTCATTTGCAGCCTAAGGGAAGGACAAGGTGGAACATGGTGGAAATTCTCTTTCATTCACCTGTTTCTGAACAAACTAAAAGTACAGCGTATCTGGTGCTTCTGAAATGCATTCAGCTGATTACATTCCAGCAACACAAACCTTCCCAAACACCAACATAAACACTTTTAAACACTGCTGATTGCACCTCCTGGTCCATGGCAGTGAGGTCTCTCCAAGGACTCGGGTACAGTGAAGCAGCCCCAGGACATGAACCCAGCAGTTCATACAGGTGTGCCCACCTCACCCAACACCATCCAGTAACTCCAGCAGGACACCTCAGGGAAATGGAAATGGCATGAGCCAAGAAGTGCAGTTATAGCAGAGCGTTCCAGCAAAGAGCATGGCTCATATTGTCAGCAAGAGGTGGAAAACCCGAGGGCATTTTAGGTGGCGCCACTCCTCAGATCTGAGTGCTGCCTACCAGGCTGTTATCAGTAGCCTGTACTGTATGAGTAACAGAGTAGTCTACCCCATAGAAACATGGACTATCCTGTTCAAGGAATTACTGTTTGAACAGTGAAAATTTAAAATTTTTAAGTCACTTTTCCCCACTCAAGGGGATTTATAGGAGTACTTCTCACCTTGCTGTCCATTCTTTACGCAGCTTTTGTCTCTCCTTAAGCAGGAGCAGGAAGCAGCTGATGGTCTCATTCCTTTGTTCCTCAATTTGTTGCTCTTTTCTCACCTCAGAGAGGACCAGACTTGTCTTAAAGGGAGGAAACACATAAAAATTATAATCTAGAAATAGGAAACAATGTGTAAAATTAATAAAAAGCCCATAAGCAAATAAGGACAGTAAATCAATAGCTTTTTTTATTACAATTCCACTGCTGACAAATCAATACAGTAAATGATGGTTAGAAATGGCCACCATATATTTGGTATTTAATCAATATACATGGCACATAAGGTAAACCTTAAAATCTCATTGCCTTAAGTATCACACTAAGACACTGTGCATTCTAGTCCACATTTTCTTGAGGCATAGTTATTTTCTAAATCTTGTATCAAATATCTTGTATCAAATAATATCAGAAATATTTTCCTCAATGTAGCATTTGTTTGGGGGACTTCACCCTCCCCTCTGCTCCTTGGTAAAGCTGTTGAAGAAAATACCTGTTTGTACTATATCTGCTGAATGGAATTTCTGCTGATGTCCACATGTTCTCTTTATCATTAAATACTTCAAATAAACAAGTAATAAAGTCTTTTCATATATGGAACAAATTAAAAACTGCTCAAAAGTATACATATATACATGCAATAATTTGTGAAGCAGGATGACACAGTCTCTGCAGATCAAATGTTCCTGGCCTTCCCAAAAATTGTGCTGACAATCAATGTTGATGAAAGAGAACTGGGGATGTTCTTATCACCCTTCATCCTCCCACCAAGCTAACTCCAGCTCCCTCACTCCATCTTTTCCTACTCACTCCTGCACCATTTTTCCTCTTCTTTCCCTGCACTTCCCCATGTCTGCCCAGCTGGGAAGGAAATGGTTGATGCTCAGCCACCAACCCAGTCCTATATCCACCAGTGCCCACACACTCCTCCATGTGCAGAAGTGTCTCCATGGCAGAAACCGAGAGTCTCCTTCTCAAGTGAAGATATTAGATTGCCTTTTTCACCTTAACCAATTCCATAGACATGGAATTATTTCTTATATTCTAACTTCCAGTCACATGTTCTGCAAACGTATCAAATAATCTAAATGTTTTTGGGAAGGATGACAGAACCGATGGAATTCTTGCACAAACCTGTTTTCTTTCCACAGAAAAGGAGGCAAAAAAAAAAGGTTCTGACCTGGGAAGTTGTGCATGTGAGTTTGAAAACACAACCAAATAAAATCAAGAGCTGCAATTCCTATTCCCAGCATAACCTGCCTGCCTCATTGGAACAATGTGACAAAACACATGGCATTTTGCCTCCTCCTCAACATCAAATACCAATTACATTCTGTCCTGCCCAACTAAAACTCCTCTGGGAATTCTGTGAGAAAAATTGTTATTATCTCCAGTTTGTGAAAACAGAGAGATCTATCCTCTTTCTGATAAGTTTTTGGGTTTTTTCCACAAGAAACAATAACACACAGATAATGCATTTCTTAACCTATGTAAAGCAGGAGTAGCATTGTTACTGCTATGGTCATGCCAAGAGAGAAGCATGAGGGTTCACAGAGACAGAAAATAACTTTACTCCACCAGCATCACAAGTGAAGAACAAAAAGCATCTTTCTCCCCACCTCCCAGCTCTACCAGCTGGCCTCCCAAAAGGCATTAGCCCATCATATGGGACTTAAACATCAAAAAGAACATTTTCTTGTAAAAACCCCAAATGTTCAAAACTCTGTCTGTACATATCACATTCTTGACCCTGCTTTGACATTACAAAGCAAACAAAAAGCCAGAGAGCATTTTCAGATAAGGATTCCATGACATGGGTTTCCCTTGCACTGACCTACAACATCTTTTCCACAAGCTCCAATATCCACCAACTTCAACAATCCTGACCTCAGAGCCTCATTTCCAGCAGCTGCAGGATTTGATAGAGGACTTCAGCAAGTGAAGCACACTCACATGAGCTAATGTACATTCTTTAATGGAAAATTAAAGAATTTTTTGGAGTGAAAATTAACGCTCCTTGTCATTCACAATAAATACACCTACTAAGGCTTTAATTTTTATATTTATCATGTACAAGACTTGACAGAGCACTACAACCAGAGTTTACCCCTGTATTATAGGATGATCAGACTGTAGCCATACAGCAAGGCCACAGTCCACCAAGATTTCCCTTTCAGAATGTTTGGATGGCCATTTTATTCACAGAGGGCCAGGAAAATCCACTGGTGATGGTGAGATGTCTGCTTCTCCCCAAAACTTCAGCAAAGTCCCAAGTTTAATGACGCCATGCCTCACAAAGCTAAAAGTACAGTTATTTACTGCAACAAACGCCAAGATCTCCTAAATAAATGATCCACAAAGTGCAGAGCACGGAAAACTGGGAGTTGCTAAAGAATTTTCAGTGAAAATCTGATGAAAAGATGATGTCGATAGAGTATTATCAGTCAGAGATGGATGATCACTTCTCCAAGTATTCACCATCACACTGTATGTGATATGGTATGAATTCTGTTGACCTGGTGAAATTGCAAGTTTGGTCCTGAGTTTCATTAAGGAAAGTCCCCTCCATCTACAGAAACATCATAATTCCGGAAACTGAACATAATTTATTTTTTCCTGAGAATATAATTATATTGCTCCAGCCCTCTGTTAACACCTTTCATTTATGTGGTGACGCACATGGCTCAAGTCAAACGCATAGTTTGACACTGACATCATAAACGCTTCTTTATTGAGCCCTGTGAGTACAGTCACAGCTACCTGCAGGGTGAAATAGTATTATTAAGCAACACACAACAACAATACATAGCAATTTAACTGATTTACTTGTTTTCTAACAGTGCTGAAAGGGCAGCGAGGTCACCTGGAATGCCAGTGCAGAGCTTGATGTGTAGCTTTTATAGAGGCATTTCTTAAAAACTTGCTATTCTTATAATGGCAATAAAAACCTTGAATTGTAACAAATAAAGTAGCATTCTGGGTAAAATAATATTATAAAGCATGTTCCTTTGAAAGTTGTCTTTTCCATGTAACTTGGTTTTGGATTTTTTTTTTAACAAGGGGATTCAATATATACCTCAACTGATAAAGGTCAAGGGTTCAAGAAACTCAGTCAAAGATGTTATCAGCTGGGAAAGCCATTTCCTCACATCAGCGCTGATAAAAACCCATCAGAAACCCGGCTGATACAACCCCTGCTCCACAGAGCAGGAATGACCTTCTTTTGAACATCACTACAGTTGCACATCCCATCAAAGAAAATCTGATCTTGTGTCTCAGCTCTTTTAATGACAGATAATTGCCTGCAGAGGCCCCCTTTGCCCAATGCTGAGTGAAGCCTTCACAATTCTGAACTGGGCTCAGCACTGACTCAGGGGTTTTCAGCACACTTGGGACTGCAGGACAGTAGAATAAATAAACAATGCAACCAGCCCTACAGCCTGTCTTATCTCATCCTTGTGTTCACAGAGATTCTTGAGGGTGGTAATGTTTACAAACTGGTGAAACTTTCTTACTTCTGCTTCCTGAGCTGTCAAAAAACATATCCTGGACAACCTAAGCAAGGAGATTACACGAATTGCTTATCACTTGTGGGAAGCAACTCCTTGTCTCATTGGCCAGCATACCTCTTTAATAAGCAATACTCCAAATATTTTCAGTAAAGCTTACCCAATTCTCTTTACTGATCTATTAGTGTATTTAGGGCTTTCCTTGTACAACCCAAATGGCACAAGTCTTAAAAACACACAACTCACCTCTCAAAAAGCCTAAAGTTATACACACACACGTGTATGTACACATGTATCAGGAGCAAATCTAGCCTTTTACATTAAACATAGTATTTAGGAAACTGTACTCTTTGCCTTCCTCCTGGTACAGCAGCAGAACTAAATTTAGGCATATCAGGCAGGAGCTATCAGAGCATCTTCTCTCATTATGTAAGAAAGGAAAGTTCTAAGATCAGATTTCAAGAGACCAACACTCAATTTCTCTCATTATCACCAACAAAATATACCAGTTACAGAGGACTGAATAGAAGCTGTTAAAACCAAGTCTTTCTATTCACCCTGGATATACACACAAAAGTAGATCCATAACAAAGCCAATCTAAGTATTGTAACAGGTTTACAATATTTTTCCTTAGATATGCAGCAAAAGAAACTGTTTTAACATCCACAGGCCACTACCCTGCTGAACTATGTGTCCTGGGTGAATATCACAACATGCCTACAGACAAGCATGAAGAACAACATCTATACACTCCAAACCCCACACTGGTACATTTTCCATCTTATAAAGCTAGATTTTTTCCTTCCTTCAATACAGACCTCATGAGGAGTCAGATGTAAGGTTAGAAAAACTGTATAACTAGAGACATGAAGCTTAGTGTTCTGTCAAACAAATTAGCCTTCAGTCTGAGCTAAAGTGGCACTTGGGACAGTTTGCCTCTTGGTCCTACTTTGTTGGGTCAACAAATCAGATTTTTCACTCCAAGTTAAGATTTAATTTACTCACCACCAGTTTAAATAGGGTAAAGTTCTGAATCTTTACCAACCACTTCTACTTTAACATAGCAGTCATCTCTAAAAAAATCAATAGCTAATACAGTAAGGAAAATCAAAGAGTAAAATCTGTAAGTAGGGCTAAAATGTTGTTCTGTATTTTCCCTGTTATTTTTGTCATTTTATTTGCTTTCAGTGAAAGAAGTTTCCTGATGAAATTCTATGAAACTAGAACATGGTTCCTTTTAGAGGGGAGGGAAAAAGAACCTGAAATCTATTAGGCCACGTTAATTTAACATGTTGTAACTCCTCCATGATAAAAAAAGCTAGTAATTGATTACAAAACCCTGCTCATTTCTTCCCTACTTTTAAAATTTCTACTTAAAATACGAGCAAATGTGCCCATTTCCACTGATACAATGGAAACAGCCAGCATGGTTTAAGTTATCACCCAGTAATTTGGGCACATTAAACCCAATTCTCTGCCTTTTGTTTATTAATTCACTATGCCAGATATCACAGTTTCACTCAGCAACCCTCATGTTCTGGATGATATTGAAAAATGAGTCATGTTTGTCAAA